ACCTATCTCTACATTTTTAATTTATTTAATATAAATATTTTATTCGTTTTAATCAGAATTGAAACTTACTTATTCTAGATTACTGAACATGAAGTATATGTTCATATATCTGTATATAATAAATTTTTGATTATTTATATTTGTTTTAGTTATTTTTGTATATTTTTTTCAAGAATAGAATATAACATATCGTATTGTTTATATTATTAATCAATTTCTTTGAACAGTGTAAAAAGTAAATATAAAAATACTCATGTTCATTTTGAATATGAAAAGTTCTGGACAAATTATTAAGTTGGATGTAAAAGAATTGTAAAATAAGTAAATTAGATTTACTCAAAGTAATTAAGAAAAGTAAAGAAGAAACAAATAACACAATTAATGACATTTACTTGTATTTTAACTTTTCATTGTTTTGAAGTGTTATTTTATTTTAACTATTGGTAGTTTTATCGTTACCCTCTGTATTCACAAATATTCTATTGATGTATTTAGTTGTGAGTTTATATTATCAAAATTATCATCATTATATTATTAATATATATGTTTCATTTATTTTCCATACTTTTATTATTCTTATTATGTTTATTATCTTATTCCATTTGTTTTAATTTTTTTATTGAAATTTATGATTAAACTAATCGTTATTTATCATAAGTGAAAAATTTCTATATCTCATCTTTATATATCCTAAGTTGTGACAATAAATATAATGATAAAATATAGATTAATTTATTGATATTATAAACAATTAATAAAGTAATAAATAAAATTCATTCATAATAAAGAAATAATGATAAAATGTTTAATAAAAATGAAGAAATAAGAAATGTTAGATATGAAATAAAATACATAAAAATAAAAAATAACATGAATAATAAGAATAAAGAATGATGAATTAATTGAAATAGACAAAAGGAAAAGATAATAAAGAAAAATAAGAAGAAATAAATTAAATAAAAGAATAATAATACAAAATATAATAAGAAGAAATGAAGAAAATAAGAAATAGAAATGAATAATGATAAATAAGAAGTAAAAAGAACATATAAGAAAACAATATAGAGAGAGAATAGAAGAATAAGAAATAAAAGAATAAATATAAATAATAAATAATATAAATAATAAAAAGTAAAAAGAATAAATATAAAAATAATGAATAAGTCAAATAGAATAAAGAGTGACATAAAAGAAATAAATAATAATTGAAATATTATATAAAATATTTATTCATTTCTTTGTTTATATCATTTTATTGTTTATTTATTATATTATTTGAAATATTCACTATTATTATTTCTTTTTCTTTTATTTTTCTTTTAATTTCTATTCATTTATTAAATTATTATTATTATTTATTCTTTATTTTATTTGTTTGATATCATTTTCTTCTTAATATTATATTTCTTTATTAAAGTATCTTTGTTTATTTTAATGTGCTGTTAAATATTTCTTGATTCATTCCGGTGTTGATTCATTTGTATAACTGATTCTACACTCACTTCAATAAATTCACAGTTAATTTCTTTCAAATGTCCTGTAACTTTACTATATCCAATTATTCCTATTTGACAAACAAATGTTCAATATAATGTATAAAATAATAATATAACACAATGAAATGAAGAATAAGTAATAATAATACAAATAACACTTGAAATCATAATAAGAAATGGTTATAGATTTGATTATTCTTTCTTATTTAATATATTATCATAATTAATTTATCATTATTCTCTTCTATTTTATCATTATTTTCATTCTCATTATTCTTTTATTCTTCTATTATTATCATTCAATAATCTTTCAGAACATAATTAGTATTATAATTATTCATTAAATATATTCTAATTATTATTTCTGTTATTATATTCATATTTACATTATATTCATCATTTGGTGTATTGAAATAATTTATAAATTAATGTATTCAACATTTAAATATAATAGTTCATTGTTTTACAAATACTCAATAAAATAAATGAATAATGATAATGATTCTTTGTTTTATTTATTTGAACTCTTTGTTAATAACAATATTCAAATAATATGAACATGAAATGTTAATCAATGGATGATGTAAGATAAATAACAAGAAATACAATCATTTAATATAACAAAATTTAATTTTGTTGATTCTTTTAATTTATTTTGAAGACTTTTTAGTTTTGAAATATTAAATAAGATAACCGTTAATTAATAAAAAGATAACCAAATAAATATTAAAATTGTTCAATGTGTTATTTCTTGGTTTCATTCTTTTTATTTTAAAAGACATAATCCATGAAAGTTGATTTCAATTAAACAATAAAACAATCGCTGCTTGGATAATATTTTTGATAATATAACTTTTTTAAACTCTTATTCTTTTTTAATTGGTCTGAACACCCATCAAAACATCCTTTTCCAATTTCACTAATTGTTGTTGGTATTTCAATTCTAGTTAATGACGTACATCCATAAAAACAGTACTCTCCTATTTCACTGATTGTTGTTGGTATACTAATTGATGTTAACGTTGTACAATCTTCAAAACAATAATCACCTAATTTAGTGATTGTAGTTGGAATAATAAATTCATTGATACACCTCTTTTCAATATTCTTTCTATTTACCGTTTCTAGATTTCTTGGTATTTCAATACTATTTAATATTGGCTCGTTCATAAATATTCTTTCTTTACTTATATATTTTATGTTCTCTACATTAATCGATTTTAATGAATAACACTCATTAAAACACCAGTGTCCAATTTCTTGAATTGTTGATGGTATATTAATTGACCCTAATGATGTACATCCAGAAAAACACCCATTTCCTATTTTACTAACTGTTATAGGTATTTCGATGGATACTAATGATACACATCTATTAAAACAACCAACCCCTAATTTCTTAATGGTTGTTGGTATGCTAAATGCTGTTAAATCTTTATAATTAGAAAAACATTCAGCCCCAAGCGATTTAACTTCTGGTGGGATTGTACCTCTATACGGCCCTGTAAATTCTATATTTTTACAGATATTTCCTGCTTCTTTTTCTTTTAAATATCTTGAATAATATACTTCATACCATGTTATTTGTTTATTTATTTTTCCATCATGAAATATTTCATCATATTTATTATAAATATGAAATGTTTCAATATTAGGAAACAACTTTCTTGAATGTTCATTTAATGGAATTGGATTAAAATGAAATCGTTCCATATTTCCTTGAAATCTTTTAATTCCTATTTCTAAATTAATAAAATCTTTAATATCATTAAAATACATTGATACTATCATTATTTCATTATATCCTAATTTCATTCTTGATTTGTTGTTTCTTGTAGTATTTTCCATTTTTATTTTATTTCAACTTAAAATAATTTTAAGATTTAAAAAAAAATCTATTTTAAAAATAGTAATTCGATTTTTTTATTTTTCTATTTTTAAGTTATGATAAATAAACAATTTGAATGAAACATCCACTTTTCACTATCATCTTTCATTTTCTGATTATCTCTTATTGGTCTTGTTTTTTAGAGTGGTCAAATGACTTGCCATTCATCATAATGAATGTTGTTAATCAAAATCAATCAATTAATCAAAAGAAATGATTTATGATGAATAAAAAGATAACAAGAAATGATAATAATAAATAATGTGATTTATTGTCAAATAATCATTTCAATTGATATAACAACAACAATGTAATCACGTTGTTGATTAAAACTAATTATTTCATATGATGATTACATTCTAAACATATTCCTGATGATTTTAAACATGTTGAATGATAACTATGACCACATCCAAATACATTGATTAATTCATCCTTTTCTTTATGACAAACAACACATTCTTTTGTTGTAATAATTCCTTTTTTTAATTCTTTGTTATGTTGTTGTATTGTTTGGTTTAGTTGTTCATTTGAAATCATTTGAAGTGTTTTGTACATTGTTAATTTCGATTGGCTTTGTTTGATTAAATCACTTAACACCTTTCTTAATAAAACTCCTTCTGTGATTTTACAACAAAATTCACTTCTTTTATTGGTATATTTGAAATTTCTATTTCAACTATTTCTCGATACACTTTCTTGTATTCTTCATATCATTCATTTCTTCTCTTCATTATTTCATTACATTTCTTCATCACTTCAACACATTCTTCATTTCTAGTTATATCTCTTAATCGAAATGTTTCACTTACTTCTTTGAGATCTTCCATAATTCCTTCATACATTTTAGTTATTTCTTCTTCCTTTTCTTTCTTCTTCATTTTGATTTTGATTTTGTTTGTCTATTTCATTTAAACATGTGATACTTCTGTTTTGAAGATTTCTAAAACTTTCTTTAATTTCTCCTTTCTTTCTTCTAATCTCAATATTGTTCTTTCATCTTTATATTTCAATGTTCAATAACTTTATCCATATCACATGTTTTTCTATCGATGATTTGTCGTATTTCTGTGGTGTCTTTCTTCATTTCATAACAACTCTCAATCACTTTCATATCAATACATCTCATATTTCTTTGAATGATTCGACTTGCTTCATTCATCATTATTCTTCCTTACTCATAAATGATTTCATATGGTGTGTTTGGTTGAACTAAACAATATAATCCACAACTTGCAATTTATTTAACTCCATTATTCATTGTTTTCTTTATATCCATTTCATACATTTTTTTTGTGAATTTTTTAACTGTTTTCTCAATACTTTCTCGTTCTAATCCTTTTCGTATCCATCTTTCTATCTCATTCCATACATCTCCTTTTTGGATATTAACCATTGTCATTAACCCATCACGTGCTGTTTCATTTTCATTTAATCTCCGTAATATTTTCTTATTATTAACTGTGAATGCTGCTTTAACTATTTTATCTATTTTCCACTTCTTTCTTTATCACATTCTTTAATTCCTTCATTACACATTTTTTTTCTTCTTCTTTATTGTAATCTTTTGATGTTAAAACATTAAATATAGCTTCTTTCATTCCTCCTTCTCCATATTTCATTCTAATCAGTTCTCGTGCTGCACTTTCTTTAACTTCTGTGATTGGACTTTTCATTGTTTCTATTAATCCTTCAATAACTTCTTTCTTCTCTCCAATATCTCTCAACACATCTATTGTTTTGTCTTTACAAATAATAATTCCTGCTTCAATTAATGTCATTCCATATGTATTATTAAATACTATCTTAATTATTTCTTTATCATCTCCTTCTGCATTACATCGTTCTGCATTTGTGATAAGCATTTCAATATTGTTCTTCATGCTTTCTTCAATTAAACTTGTTGGTGTGATTCCATGTTTGAGAATGTTATGTGAAACAATGCGAAATGCTTCAATTGTCTTTTTCCCTAATGACCTATACATTGTGAAAATAGTAGAATATCTTGATTATTCAATACATATACTGATCACAGATGCAATGTCTAATATATTTGAATAACATCCTATTATTCTTTCACTTATTGTACTATCTTTATTTTTCAATCCCATCACAAATATTTCCCATGCATTTTTCTTATTTATTTCAATTTTCCTTTCTCATTTATTTCTGTTTTTATTTTATTCATTATTATTTCTTTTTGTTCATCAGGAGTGGATTCAATTAATGTATCAACACATTCTAATTCTTTTGCATATTCCCAACAATCTTTTCCTTCTTTTGCCATTTTACTTATGATTTCTTTTCCTTTTCTTTTCATTGTTCCTTTTCTTTCAATGCATATCTTTATTTGTTCTTCTTCATTTTCTATCTCATCTATCATTTCTTCTTCTGTTGGAATGTCTATACTTTTGAATCTATTCATTGTGAGTATTACTATCATTTTATCATTATTCTGAATTTCTTCTATTGGTGTATTATTTATTATTTCTTTCTCTCTATTCCCTTGATTAACTTTAATTTGATTATTATATTGTGTTAAAATGATTGTATCACACCAAATAATAGATATTGGTGATTTAACTTTGTTTTCTTTAATTATTTCAATACTAAATTTACCTTCATCAAATCTTTCTTCATACAAACTTATTGTGTTATTATGTAATATACAAAGATGTGGGAGTGTTTCCTTCTTTTCAATTTGAAGAATAGGTGTTGATGAAATACTTTGGATTTTTTTATACAGATAATATTCTGTTGGTGGACATGTGAATGGTGGAATACAACTCTGATATTTTGATTCATTTCTATTCATTTTCTCATCATTTAAATCACATAACCATAAAAATACTGATTTACTTGTTGCTAACATAAATTGTCCGACTTCTTTTGTTTTTGCTGTGACATGTGTTAAACATGAATTTGATAATACATCAACATGTCCTCGTTGTCCAAATCCAAGAATCGATGTATCAGGATATTCAATTACTCTCATTGTTTTATCATTTGAATATAATGTAAAGATTCTTGCTGATAAAAAGTATCCTTTGGTTGTTCCTGAAATCACTTGTCGATAAAACACTCGATATGTTTCAATTTCAATGACTAATACAGTGAAATCACTTGAAATTGTGAGTATTAAATCTTCATAACAATCAATACTAATAATTGGTGCTGATTTCATTAATGGTGGTGGTGTATGAATTATACTTTCTTGTGTATCAATGTTATAATAAATGATTCTATTATTATCACTGAAACAAATCATTCTTTTATCATTCACACAATATCCTTTGATTGTTATTCCTTCTTTTCTAATGAGAGTATTGACTTGATTAAATCTATCATCATTATCCATTTTTTTATTATTTCTTTATTACCTCTTTTTATTTCTTTTATTAATTAAAATGAAAATGAAAATATTAATGAATATTAATGAATAGAATATTGAATATTATCTCCTAATGTGATTGTTGGTGTTGTTGCACATCTTGCATATTTTCTATTAAATCCTTCAAATCGTACAAATGTGAATATTAATGGATTTGATTCATCTCCTCCTTCATAACATACTCTAACATTAACTACTCCTTGTTCATGTGCAGGTGTAATTACAACTATTTCAGTATGTGAATTAAATGTTGCTAGTGTGCTAATATTTCCAAATGTTACTTGATATTTTCTTCCTGAATATGGAAATCTCCCTTTGATATAAATCTTTGTTCCACCACAACATGGTCCTTCAGTTTGTGATAATTCTTTAATAGTACATACAAGAGGGAGTATCATTCTAATAGTTGATTTCTCATTAATATTCCATTCTTCACTTCTTCCTTTCTTTGGTAATACATATCCATTATATATTAATGTTATTTGGTGTAATGTTAATTTCTTTTGTTCTTCAATTTCTGAATAAATTCTTTCTAGTTTGATTGGTACATTCATTTCAATGTATTGAACACATTGATGGTTATTGAACAATTCAATTTTCATTGTTTTTTATTTTATAGATGATGAATCACCACATCATCCTTTCATTTCTTGAATTATCATCATTTCTTCTTTCTCTTTTTGTTTTATATTCTTGTTTATTTCCTTCATTTAATTGTTTTATTGGTGTTTGATTCAATAACAATTTATCAATTCTTTTATTTGTCTCAACCTATTCTTATTCTATTGCTGTTCATAGTGTAAACAAACTAAAAAGTAATTAATTAAGTGCCAATAGGATTGTCATCGATTTTTCCTTGTTTTGTTAAGACTAATCATATCACAATATTGCCAATCAACTTTATGGAATATTTAGTGTGTATAAAAACAATGTTCTATGACACACACCACGTTTTTGGTCACATGACTTTTGACTTCTTTTATTTGTTAATTTCACTTTTTTAATTCTTTTATTAATGTATGTTGTCGGATTCGAAGTGGCAAGACACCACACAAACCCTAAAATGAATCAAACCTTTGAATCAACAATTGTCGTCTGCTGATAGTGCTGCCTTTAGGGAGACAATGCCTTATCCAAGGCTAATTTGTTGTTGTTTGTTAATATTTATTATGAACGGTTATTAGCTAAGTATTGTTTATTATTTAGTAGTATTATTATTTATCAAAATGCAACTGTGTTTGCTAATGATCATCTTCGGCTGAGTACATAGAGCGATATTAAGAAAAATGGATTCCCTAAGCAGTATTGATGATAAAGAAATATGCGTAGTCATAGTGTTATTGATAAATTCATCATACAATAACATTGTAAACAATGAAGAGTTTTAATACTCATTTAGTTCAAATAAAAATCAGATAGCAATTAAATGAAGAACCATTTAATTCAAGTATGTTTGAAAAAACAACATTTGAATAGAAATAAGTCATGTTGAAGAAACAGATTCCCTCACTTCTCAATATGATGAAAACTTAATTATTAATAATTCTTTTTTGGTTTCTTTTTTTTATTAAATATGTATTATTACTGTTTCTTTTATATACATCTTTTATTTAATTCTTTATTTTGATTATTATTTTTATTCTTTCTTCTTTTTTGTTTTTTCTCTAAGAACTATTAGTATTAATAAATATAAATAAAATACTAAATAATCTATTTTAGTTTAATCTACTTATAATAAATAATAAAGTTAAACTAATAATAGAACTTGAAAATAAATGAATGAAGTTTATAAGAAAATAAAAAGAATACGAAATAAACTAAATGACAAGAAGAAAGAAATGAAGTGTTTAATGAATTACAAGAAATAAGTAATACTGTTCAGAAAAATTTATAAAGTCATGAAAAGTACACGAGAATATAACGAAAATGGAGAAAAGAGAATTATAGAAGAGATAACTGATAATGAAGATGAAAGCCTAGAAGATAGAATTAAATGAATAGAAGGAATTCATGATAGAAAAGAAGAAATGAGTAGAAGAAATAAAATAGTTAAAAAGAAAATAAAAGAAGTGGTGGTGATGATAAATAAATTAATGAATATTTATCAAAGAATTAATAAGATTTGAGATGAAGATAATGAAATAATATCAAAACTAGTTGACAATATCGTTACTAAAGGGATGGAAACCTATGAAATAATAAATTAATTAAAAGAAATAAATGAAGGATAAACAGATATAAAGGAAAGTCACATGGTATTAGAGCCGATCATGTAAGTAAAAGAGGTTGACAATAAAATTACTCTATTAAATGAAGAAATAACCAAACAAATAGATGAACGAACAACAAGAGAAGTACTCAGTACTAATTGATTTAGATATTAATAGTTGGAGTGAAGATACATATCCGCGTTTAATTAAAGAATAATAAATAGAGAATACATAGTACTTATTATTTATGATGAAGATGGAAATAAATTGGAGGATGTTAATTCTAAAATTAATAAAGTTGGTAGTTTTAACTGGATAAATGATTCAAAAATATTTGTATTTTTATTAGAGTCAAATAGAAGAATAAAAGGAATGAAGAAATTTAATATTAAAGAACCACAAAATACATTTTTGTTTATTTAATCAAGTAAAATATTGTTTTCATTTGGATATGATGATATTTATTTTTACAAAGAATATATAAAACAAATCATTTTTTTTAAACAAGAGTCCTTTAGGTATAAAGGAATAAAGAAAACAATGTCCAGACTTTTTCACACCACACCGAATCATTGTAGTTGAAATGATTTTATTAAATATGTTCTATTTTTAACATTTATTTTAATACCTTTATTATTTTCCTTTCAAGTAGTTTTAATTCATAGGTAATTAAATAAAAATATAAATTGAAACATCAAAATATTTTCATCACATTTTATTGTAGTCTTTTACCTCTGATTCATTATTAATAATTTATGTTTATTACTCACTATAGAATTTAAACAATTATAATAAAATTAAAAGATTGGTAAATCACCAACTAATTATATAATATTATTAATAATAAATCCAATTGATTATTGCATTACGATTATGTTACTTAAATGAATAATTAAAAGATTATACTTATATGTAATAAAAAAAAAGAAACCAAAAAAGAATTATTAGTAATTAAGTTTTCATCATATTGAGAAGTGAGGGAATCTGTTTCTTCAACATGACTTATTTCTATTCAAATGTTGTTTTTTCAAACATACTTGAATTAAATGGTTCTTCATTTAAGTCTTATGTTTACTTAAAATAATATAAAAATGAAATAATCAAATAATTATAATTTTAAATAGATAATATTTGTTACAATAAAGTATTAAATTGACGTATCTTGTTGTTTGATTATTGTTCTGTCAAATCAAATTTACAATATTTAAATCATTAAAGTAACAAAAAAATAAATATTTGATTAATTTTATTCAATAAATCTTTGAAACAATAATGAATTATCAAAATTTATAGTTTAGAAATGATCAAGTTAGTTCTTATTAATAAATACCAAACATTTTATTTCCATGTCATTATGATTTAGATTGTTTAAACTAACAAAGAAATCATTTCTTATTTTATTAGATACTAAAACAGGAATAAACAAATCTGTTAGATAAACAAACAATTGAAAAAAAAACAAGTATTAAAACTTAAAACATAATTTGATGAATACAAAACAATAATATGATTATTCAAAAATAAAATTAGATGGTGTTGTTTCATTTTCAAATTTCATCACCTGATGAACAAGACGTTCTGCTTTCTTATCTACAAAGAATAAAAGTGGGGAGAATAACGAAACAAATAAAAAACATACAGAACTAAATGCCATAATTGTCCAAATATCTATCTGTAATAACCCAGCTGCAAGTAGTAATGATATAATTTGTCCTAAAGTAATAAACACATTAATTAAACCAAGATGAGTTGCATATGAATATGTTGAAACTAGTTTTTTCATATATGAAAAAGGTAGTGAATTCATTTCAACAAACTGAAAAGCTGTAATTTGATGAGCAATAAAACAAGAAGAAATAATTAAAATATCACTGAAAGAAGGATTAAAAGCAACGTCCTTACTAATAATAGAAGGTGCTATTGAAAGAATTGCATAAGAAAAAACAGCGAAAATATTAGAAATAAAATATAAACGAACTCTTCCATAACATTTTTCAAATAATGGTAATACAAAAGGAGAAATAACTTGAACAAGCCAAAATGAAGCAGTACTAAACATCCCAACTGAAATAGCATTAGGGTATTTAGGATTTGTTTGATTATTTATATGAAAAATATCTTTTGCATAATAAATTGTCATATTAAATGAAGCAGGATAATAACCAATCCATGATAACATTAAAAGAATATAAATTATTATTAATTCAATTGTTATTTCTTTAATCCCATTATAAGTATTAATAAAAGGTGCAAGAAAAAAACGTTTAAAAGAAAAATCTTCATCAGGTGGAATAAATTTTTCTTCATCAGCAACAATTAATGTTGGAATAAAACTTATTAATAATACAATAAATGATATACCAAAGATAATTGAATAATAATAACCATTTCTTGTGAGTAATATTATTCCCCCAATTACATTACAAACAACACCTGAAATTGCACCTAAAGCTGCACTATAAAAATAAGCAATTTGTTGATTTTGGTAATTAAAAAAATCAGGTATTAATGCACGAGAAGGTTCACTCATAAAATTAGCACCAAGGTACATAAATGATAATCCAATGAATGCAAGTACATTTGATGACCAATCAATTCCATTTGTAGAAATAGGTAAATGATCAATATGACAATATTTACAAATAAGTTCACTAGTAATTAAGAGTGTTATTGAAATAAATTCAAATAATACACCAATACCAATAAATATTCTACGTCTTCCATATTTAAAAGTACATCTATCACTCCATCCACATACACATAATGTTATAATCATTCCAACAACTGACCCACAAATTCCAATTGTAATTTGTGCAATGCTATAAACTCCATTTTCTTTTTCTTTATTATTAATTACTCCAAAATATGGAATTGCTACACTGGTAATTGTAGAATCTAAAATTTATTGATTTCGTCTCATTAAGGTTATTTAAAATTATATAACAAACAACAAAATTGAACACCTGCCTGAACACTATTTAATCCAATAAATCTTAATGAATTTATCAAATAGGAAGATGTAGAGTATTTTTTCTTCATTTAAAACAACTTTTTACAAATTATTTTTTTAGTTTATTTGAAATTTTTTATAAAAACTTCGAAAATTGAACTGAATATTAAATTAGAACAAAAGAGATGAATGAATTTATGTTTAATTTAATTCATCTATCTCTTGATAATGGAAAAAAAAGAATATCTAATCAAATGGCTCAACGAAAAGCAGAAAAAATGGCAATAGATCCATTTTGTATATTACATTTAGTTCATATTGGATTATTGTCTTCTTTAAATTCAATGAACATTTTTATTATTTGTGACATCTCAAAAGGAAGAAAAAAAGAAATTCAGGAATTTTATCAAATGTACGAATTATTTCATTACTTTTTA